GAACCCTCAGAAGCTTATCAGGCTTGTGCAGGGACATGAGTTTCTGGGACGCAGCCACGATCCCAGGAAAGAGCTTGATTTTTCCATGTGCAGGTGTTGACTATATTCGAAAGAAATTAATTCCGACTGTGAGATGTTAAAACTATCCCCCAAAAGCTAACTTGCAGAATGTTGTTTATGATCAGCTTCAAGGAGGATCTAGGTGGCCTCAGGTCTGGTTTTGAAAATGCCAGGAAAGAGAGGAATTAAGGATTCTTTATAATTTGGAAAGGAAAATAAAGAGGCCACCTGCGAGGGAAATGCAGAGTTTGTGGTGATTTGTCTCTGTTCTGCTCTGCTCTAGGAGAGTTCTCTGCCTCAGAGACCTCCCTCACAGACATCCAGGAGCAAAGAAGGCAGCCCATGCCAGACCCAGGTCTTATGCCCTTGCCTGATTCTGCCTCTGATCTGGACTGGTCAAACTTGGTAGATGCTGCCAAAGCCTTTGAGGGTAAGTATTCAGAATGCAATAGTGAAGAAGTATCCTACTGCAGACTTCACTAGCAGTATCTTCCTTTATTCTCATAATTTTTCCACTTCTTTGCTTTGTATCTACTTTGAAGTCCAACTTCTTTCAAAATTGTGAACATCTCAGCAGCCTAACATTTGTTTGTCTATAATATTCACATGCTGCTACATTATGTTAGAGTTCTGCCACACTAGAAGTTAGCTGCATTTCTGCAAAACTGACTACTTGTCATTAATGCAGACCAGCCGCACGCATCGCAGCCTGCATGGAAAAACATCTGGCATGAAAGTGCAAAGTGAAGCCAAGCAGTGGGGGGGGAAAGGAGTGTGAACACACTAATGGCTGCTTACTGCGTGAGACAGACATTTCTGTATTCCAGCTGAGACGTGTTGCCAAAGTAATTTGGGAAATCTGCCTTGCTGGCACATGCCTTTCCATTGCCATTCTCCCCTCAGCCTCCCTCCAGCCACATGGACTTATGATACTTTCCATCTCTTTCACAAATACTGAACTGAAGAGAAACGTAAGTTGACGAGATGCAGTGGAATTCTAAAGAAACAGAAGATTTTTAGCCCACTGTGTAACCACTCCTATAACCTCATGAAAAAAGCTTTCTAAATACATTGAACAAAAGAACGTTTTCCTAATTTCTACATAAGACCATTCTCTCATGGGATTGACTTAACTGATCCTCGCTCTTTTGGATGCTGCATTACTTAGACACCAAGAATGCTGATCCCAGAAGCCTGGGAAGTTATCTTCGTTCTGCTTCTCCTTTGGCAGTTCTACAGTGACCGCAGTACAAGTAATTAGCACACAATATGCCCACGGTAGCGCCTGTATCAGTCAATGATGAAAACATATGCTCTGCTACATGGATTGAACACATTTGCCCTTCAGCTCTAGAGGACAGAGATCCAATTCTATCTTAGTTCACAAGGAGAGGCAAATTTGTTGTGGAGAGTTGTACAAATATGGACTAGAAACAGACTGATATTTTAATGCAATGTACTGCGATTGGCAAGATCAGTAGAAGAGATCCCTTTCTTTACTTGTTTATAGTATACCAAACTCTAGTTAACAGCATTATTCCCTCTGTTTATAGGCTTTGAATTCATTCTTACTGTCTTAAAAGTTTGAATAAATGTGGTGAAAGCTGTTTAACAGTCCTTTGTCTGCCATGGAACAGGTATATTGTGGGCAGCATTTTGCTAGGTTCCTTTCTCACCACTCCACCAAAGTGCTTCACACCTGACTTAGAAACTCTATCTGGTCTACAAACTCAGCCCATGGCCTCTCTGCTGAGTGCTAGTGAGGGCCTGGCAAATACCAATGAAAGTAAATGATTGATGCATCTTGTCATGTTGGACACTTCTTTGCTTAGAAACTTGACAGAAGCCAGTCTGCTTAAGTGCTAACTGCTAGTCACTAACAGCTAAAATGAAAACCCTCACAACCTCTTGCTAAATTCTTAAACCATCCAGTGATCCTGCAGTTCTCAGTCTTTAAAAAATGGACATGGCGAAATTCTGTTAAATTTAATGTAAGTTTAGCTTTACTGATCGTTGTTCAAGCATCTCATAATTAGGGGTGTGCAAAACAGGCCATATTCGATTCGGATTTGGCCCAAATCAGGGACAGTGATTCGATTTGTTGATTTGGATCACTGTCCCTGATTTGATTTGGTCAAATCCAGATCTGAAGATTCAATGCTTATTCAGAGAATCAGCAATTTGGCCATAGACACAACTTTAAATGTTTTTTCTACATACCTCAAGGTACCAGCGCAGCTCATGAACGCTGCGATGCTGGGGCGGATGGAGCATCCCACAGGAGTGTTCCCTCCCCTCCCTCCCCTCCCCTTGTGCTCGTGGTGAACCCAGAAGTGGACCAGACGTACTTCCGGTCCACTTCTTGGTCTGCCAGGGAGCACACTAGGTGGCCTCCCTGCACCCCCCCCCTTCAGCTCAGCAATTGGCCACAGGGGGGCCCCAGGTGCCCCCCCAGACCCAGGAGGCACCAGTTGCCAAGCTGGGGAGGCGAACACTTCTGGAAGTGCTTCTGGTCCACTTCCGGGTCTGCTGCTGAGCGCGCTGGGGACCCCCCCCCCCATGCTCCTGTGGGACCTCCATCCCTCCCAGCATCTCAGCATTCATGAGCCCCTGCTACCTAGAGGTATGTAGAAAAAACATTTAAAGCTGTGTCTATGTCCCAGTCTTTCCAAATCTCCAAATCGATTCAGAGGGTTCCAGTTCGATTCAGAGAGATTAGAGGGTCTTCTGATTTGATTCGGAGATTTGGCCACTGAATTGGGCTGAATCTCTGCCAAATCAAATCAGGGACTGAAGCTTCACACAGCCCTACTCATAGTATCTCCCAAAACAATGAGATGGGACATGATGTGCTGATTTGTTAAAACTTCCTAAATAAGCAGTCATAAGAAAAAAAAATGCTGGGGAAGGGAGAAGATGTTTTCATTTTTGTTATGCACAAATGTGTAATAAAATCTTAGGAATAAATAAAAAAAGGTATTTAAAAATGATAAAGGTCTGTTTGCATTCCTGTGTAATCTTACAAAATCATATGGGAACTCTCTTATTTCTGGGGGAAAAAAAGATGTGCCAGGTTACTCAAACTGTGGTTTCTGGAAGCCATGAAATGGAATCCCATTTTCTTTTTCAGTGCATAGAGGCACCATGATGTAGGTGTTAGGGCAGCAAGCTGGGAGTTAGGATTTCTGAGTTTTAATCCTCTGTGCTGCTGCCGATTTGCTTTAGCTTCCCTTCTGTGCCTCTGTTTACCCCTTTCATGCTGAACACCAGGGATGGTTTTGAGTTTAGTCTTTGAGACCCTCAAATGCAGATGCTATAACCTGTAAGCAAATTATTATTGCATGTATTATTTTTTGTCTGCTCTCTCTCTCTCTCTCTCTCTCTCTCTCTCTCTCTCTCTCTCTCTCGCTCTCTCTCTCTCTTTAGTTCAACGAGCCTCGTTCTTTGCTGCTAGTGATGAAAATCACAGACCAGTGAGTGCTGCCTCCAACAGTGATCAGACTGAGGACCAGCTCACTGGACAGATAAAGCCTTACACAGGGTAGGTTGGAAGGTTTTTTTACACTAAAATCTGGGGCATGGGATGGAGACATGTTTTACTTTGTAATAAACTTCTTAGCTTATGAATTTTTACAAGAAAAATTGGAAGAAGGAAACACTTGAATGCTAAGAATATTTCAGCCTTTGTAAGATAACCTGTTTTTGAAGGTTATTGAAGGGTTGAAAGTCATCTAAAATGTTTAAAGAGCATCCAAAGCTGCATTTTTCTAAGGCACATGTAATTATCATGCAACTAATAGAGGTAGAGAGAAAGCAAAAAATGAGACCTCAACTTCTCACAGCTACTCTCCATTATTTGATTGTGCTGCATATAGATGTGCATCTGTTCTGGTTGAGACATGCAGTGGACATTTTAAAATAATTGTATATTCACAATGAGCCCTACTGCACATCCACATGAAGCACTATGTCACAGAAAAGCCTGTAGAAACCCAGATTAGAGTTGAGTAAAGCATGATTACTAAATCCTGCTAATACCATGTGTGCCTCCTCCTTTCCACAGGAAAGAGTCTCCTCCTACTCTTGCCTCAAAAGTAGACCAGTTAGAAGGTTTACTGAAGATTCTGCAAGAGGATTTAAGGAAGGTAAACACTTATTCTACAGAAAGTGAGTTGGTGGTTGATGTGATGTTGATCAGCCATGCTATCTAGCTTATCACCTTGCCCTCATAACCTAGAAGCCTGAGACACACTCAGCCTTCTTTCAGAAAATGGCATGCTTCTTCTCAGGTAGAAGGTGGGGTAGATATACACCTTATAGACTAACTAAATGGGAGATGCATACATTTTCATGAATGCTTATGCATCTCTGATTTAGTTTATAACATGCATCTCTACCCTGCCTTCTGCCTGACTTCAGGCTAACATGGCCAACTACCTCTCTCTTACCTGTTTTCTCACACCATAGTTCAGGATATTTACTAATAAGGTGTTAACAGTGGCTTTTAGGAAGCAGAAGGAAAGATCAGCACATGTGTGTTTTAGTGCTCAAATGCACACTGCCATGTCTGTGGCTGTTTTAACACATGAAGGATCTTGCTGTGATCAGGCCAGAGATTGCTTTATGCAGCATAGTATTCACAGAAGCATTTCCCACCTCTTTTAGCTAACCTTCAGCTTTCACATTGTAGGGGGCTGCATTAACAGCACAGGTTAAAATGAGACCATTTTCAGGTGCTTGCTTGGAGAGCAAGCTTACACATTAACATTTATCCTGAAGAAAGGTCAGTAATATGTGTGCAAGGAGTGTGGCAAGGGGAAAGGAAGGAGGTCACCATATACAGCTTGCAGGTATAGAATTTCCTTGTGCCAGCAAAAGGTTTCACCACACTTGAAGCCCTTGCAAAGGAAAAGTGCTAAAACCCTCTGGATGATTTCTTGCTCATTGAGACAGGTAGGAAACATGACCTGGAATCATCACTGAGTTCTCATGTTCTTCACCCTTCAGGAAAAGGAAGACAAGGCCAATCTTCAGGCTGAAGTGCAGCACTTGCGGGAAGACAATTTACGGTTACAGGAGGAGTCTCAGAACGCAACTGAAAAACTGAAGAAATTCACAGAATGGGTTTTCAACACGATTGATATGAACTGAAGACAGTAAATGGGGAAGGAAGGAAACCATCAGTGCTGAGCATCGTCAGTGGGACTTAAGCTTTAATGCCATCTTTACTCATGATGTGAAAGTGTATAGTCACAGCACTTCCCCACCCTCCCTCCTCTAACAGCCCTTTTTTGCATCCTTGCGCTCTCTCTGAACAATTGCAGATCAACAATCAACATCTGCCTTTTGTAGAAAAACAAAAAAGTAAATAATTTTACAAAGGTAAAAGAGAAGGTAACTGCTAAAATGTGAATGTCTTTATTTTTTGCACATTATCTCTTTACCTGTTATGTACAAAATGATTTGGAGGCAGGGCCAGAATTGCTCTGCCCTTCGCCTCTACTTATTTCCATTAACTCCTTTCTATCTATTTCAGGTAATCTGCTTTTCCTTGCTGCTTTGGCAAATATTATGACACCTAGAAGACTAGAAAGAAATGTTTCTTTTGCTGCTTTTCTTATGTTGGTTTCTGAAGTTTGCCGCAGACAAGGGGATATGAAACAAGGGTTGAGGTGTCTCCTGAATGATTTGCGCTTGACCGCTAGTGCTGCCTTCCCATATGTTATGCAAGACATAGGCCCATAGTGGATGGTACAGTAGAGACTAGAGATTTGAGCCATGGGTGAGACTTATCACATATCTCCTCCTTGCATTAGCATTTCTAGTTACTTTTGTTTCCTGTGGAAACAATGGTTGCCAGTTTACTGTAGGACAGTGCAGTTTGGCTCTTTGGCTCGCCAAAAGGTGCACCACATCAGGCAGGCTGAAAGAAACTGTGTAACGCATGGTCTCCATCCCTTCCATAGCCTGGACAGTCCTGTTCTCTGAGCATATACAGTAAGTTCTTGACTAAAGTCCTAAAATATTTAGATTTTTTCAAACCCCAGGCATTTTCTTGAACTCTCTTTATGCCATGTCAGTGCTCCTGCCCTGCTGTTCCCCCACCTGTTTGATTATGAGACTCCCAAATAAGAGCAGGCTCAAGCAGTGTTTAGAAATCACTTGATTTCCTGTATGCCAGGCCTTCTGGAATTAATAACCCCCCTTTATGTAGAACTATGTAAAGACTAAATGAAAAAAGGGTATTTTTAGAAGTATTGGGACAGGGAAAAAAAAATCAATATTTTAACTCTTAGGTCTCTGGAGTCTGGCATTCCCTTTACTACTACCTAGCATTATGTTTCCCATCCTGCTTAATACCAGGAAGCTATTTTTGTTTTCTTTGAAGGTGCCATGAACTTGCCATAAGATGTCACCTCTCCAGAAATGCCTTTTTTTTTTTTGCATTACAATGCAACTCACACGGATTGCAGCCTGCACAAATACTGCTGCAAGCAGCATGCAGTAATCATCTCTACCCTCCACTATCAACATCCTTCCCATCTAAACATATTTCTTACATAAGAAATATTAAGGAATATTTGTCCATTTCAGCCACAGACTTCCCACACTTCTGCCCCCTCCCTCCCCCTCTTTCCCCTCTGTCAGATGCTTCTTTAAAAAAAAATGGTAGGCATATTCATAGTTTCATAGTTGGTAGGGTCGGAAGGGACCTGAGCAGATCATCAAGTCCGACCCCCTGCCGTGGCAGGAAAGAGTACTGGGGTCAAATGACCCCGGCCAGATGTTCGTCCAGCCTTTTAAAGACCCCTCCAGGGTAGGAGCCAGCACCACTTCTCTTGGAAGTGTGCTGCCGTGACAGTGAAGTAGCACTTCCTAATATCTAGCCTGAATCTACTCTCCGCTAGCTTGTGTCCATTGTTTCTTGTAAATCCCAGGAGTGCTCGGGGGAACAGGGACTCTCCCAATGCCTGCTGGTCCCCTTGACTAGTTTGTAGACTGCCACTAGTTCCCCTCTCAGCCTTCTCTTATGGAGGCTGAACAGGTTCAGGTCCCTCAGCCTCTTCTCGTAGGGCCTGCCCTGCTGACCCCTGATCATGCGGGTGGCCCTCCTCTGGACCCTCTCCATACTGTCCACATCCCTCCTGAAGTGCGGCGCCCAGAACTGGACGCAGTACTCCAGCTGTGGCCTGACTAGTGTCGCATAGAGGGGGAGGATCACCTCCTTGGACCTGCTTGAGATGCATCTGTGGATGCATGACAAGGTATGGTTGGCCTTCATGACCGCGTCCCCACACTGTTGGCCCATGTTCATTGTGGTATCAATAATGACTCCAAGATCCTTTTCTGTCTCTGCACTGATGAGAAGGGAGTTCCCCAGCCTGTAGGTGTGCTGCTGGTTCTTCCTCCCCAGGTGCAGTTCCTTGCACTTGTCAGTGTTGAAACCCATCCTGTTCTCATCTGCCCACCCCTGTAACCTGTCTAGGTCTGATTGCAGCCTGTTCCTTCCTTCTAGCGCACCCACTTCCCCCACATCTTAGTGTCGTCTGTAAATTTGAACCAGGGTGCTTTTTACCCCCTCGTTCAAGTCACTGATGAAGATGTTGAACAGTGCAGGCCCAAGGACCGAGCCCTGTGGAACCCCACTGCCCACATCCCTCCAGGTCAAAAATGACCCGTCCACCACCACTCTCTGGGTGCAGCCCTCCAGCCAGTTAGTGACCCATCTGACCATGTAGGCATCAACACCACAGTCTCCTAGTTTCTTAATGAGAATGGGGTGAGAGACAGTGTCGAAGGCCTTCCTGAAGTCCATAAAGACAATATCCACTGCGACACCAGCATCCAAGGACTTGGTGACCTGGTCATTTCTTATCATTAACTTTTCTATGCCTCCTTCACTACACTTTTCCATACCTTCCATCTCCCTACACATGCACACATTCTATACTTTAACCTAAAACTTCATTTGTGGTGATAATCCTCATGGAATTCTTCTCTAATGTTTTGTCATGGAAATGGATCCATTGGGAGCTGTTTCTGGAATGCTCTTGTAAAGGTTTAGAATGTCCTGGGTTTTTTAATGACTTGTATGAAGGAAATTTGTATAATGCCTGATATTATTTGTAAATGGGAAATATTGCTAACATCTCTGAGCATCCTGAAGTCTTGCTTATTCTCTCTTATTTTTAAGTTTGTTTGGTTTTTATTTTATTTTTAAAAAAACTGGGACTTGGGGCAGACTATTTATTAGAGTTTTGCAACAGAGTTCTTGTATGAAGCCTCTAAAGGCTACTTGTAAAATTCTGACAATAAAACTCATTTTAAAGGCTCTTCTAAACCACTTGCTGTTGATTTTATCGGGTGCTGTTTTTAACAAGTGACCCCCCTTTCTGTTTTTTCTTACTACACCAATTGCACCATACTCAAGTCTCATTCTCTAAGCGTTTTGTTTTGCCTTCCCTCTGGAGGCCATCACTAGTTATATGCAGGTGTTTCAGAATTACACTTTCTATTCCTACTAGCTCTAAGTCACTGCCTCCCTCCCTTATTTAGAAAAATCCTTTGTTTCTCTTGCAAAGGACATTTTTTCTTATCTTTAAGTTGGGTCCCTTTACTTTGATGTCACCCTGCTGATAGGAAAGTTTCTTTGCCTACTAGCACAACTGGTAGGCCAAAGGTGGGGCGAGTATTTCAGTGAACGTTGTCCTGAAAAAACAGATTGCAAGATTTTTTTTTCTTCTTAATTTTGGTCCAACCTCAGTGTCACCCAGTTGGTCATATCTCCCCACAGTAAATGATCTTTCCGTTTACTCTCCTGCCTATTTACTAATTGTATTTCTAAAGATTTCACATGCCTCTGAATATTGTACATCCAGGAGCTTATGGAGCACAGTCCACTTTCTGCACTTCTTGAAAGACTAAAGGATGTGCTTTTCTCTGTGGGCGACGTCCTCCACTGGTTATTAGGGGTAGGGAACCTGAGCCTGACATCCACCCACTGGGCAGGCTAGTACTGCTGAAGGCACTAACTCACAGCAGGCTTTCCATTCCCTGAGCACAAGGACTAGATTGTACCCAGCCCCTGAGCAGGAACTCTATGTAAGGAGGCATTGCCTTCCCTCCATGTTTGTTGTTTACTGTGCTGCACTGAGCTAATAAGCTCCTCACTGTGCAGTTACTGTTTAGATCAAGGTTTTCTCATTTCTTCAGACAGTTGTATTTATACCTATATAGCAAAACATGGCTCCCACCCCCAATTCAGAATTGTTCCATGCTATGTTCCTGCAGAGAAGCATATACCTAGCATCAGGGCTGGCACAGCAGCTGCTGGGCAGATAGTACTTCTAATAACCAAAGGAGATTCCTTGCCTCATCAGGTTTCAGCATACAAAGGAGCTAATCCATCAATGCTCAAGGACTGACTTGCATCTTCCCTATCCTTCAGTTGCAAGTACCAGTGAGGAGCTATGCACAGGACTCGCACCTAATGGGTAAGGAAGGAGGGCGTTCTTCTAACTTTCACATTCAACTCTGTCTACTCCTTTCCCTCCCTATCCTCATCCTATAGTCCTTGCATTTACCTCCCCTCCTCTAAGGCAGTTCGCTTTGAGCATTTGGTCCCCGATCTGCTCTGCCTCCTAGGCACTCAGCATCCAGCACAGCAAGAGTTACTGTAGTGCCGATTCTGACAACCAGATGGCTGAGGAATCCAAATGAGCATCATGGAGCCCAGGAGAGAGAAATGTGATAGCTTGAAGCAGATAATTAAAGTGTGAGACTCAGCTCCTCACCTGTTTATGAGAAAAGACTTGAATCAAAAACAAAGCCAGTGTACATCTGCTCTAAGGATGATGTTACAGGTTACCTTTAAACCAGGCACTTAAAACAGGAGTATCCACACATTAAAAGGTGTTAAATTGTGCTAAGAACCATCTAAGTATCTTAAAGTTGCACCACTTCAGGCAAGAGCTGTCTTTGAGCCGTTCCACCCAGCTTGAGGTAGGGTATTTGTCAGCTCCACAGAAATAAAGCAACCAATTTGTGGTCATCCAGCATCCCAAGATGCACAGCTCCCAGCCCCTCTACTCCTGACAAACTTTTCACCCTCCCAAGCTCTGGTCCCAAGGGATAGTACTGGCCCCAAGCCAAACCCCCCACCCTGCCCTATCCTGACCATAGTGGATATGATCCTAGCCCACATGGTGTGAGATCCAAGGGCTCCAGGAGACCTAATCTGGGCTCAGGAGCTGGGGGCCAGGCACTCTCAGAACAAAGCCTTTCCCCACATTCAGGTGGCGCTTTCCTAGCCAGGAAATTTGGAGGTAGGGGGAGGGCATGACTTCCCTCCCTAGCCTCCCACATTCCTGGAGAAGGGGGAAAGCGCTGCCTAGTGCTGAGTGCGGCAAGATCCTGGGGCCCAAGGAGGCAGGCTTCCTTAGGCTCCATGCTCTTGCTGTGCTTAACCCCTGTGGCTCCAACCCCAGAGAAGGGATAGAGTCCTGCCTCCTGGACGTGTCCCTGGTCCCCAAATCCTCTAGTGACAAGACACAGTTGTGCAGGTCAGAGATGGCAACAAGCCTTCACTTGCAACTGTTTTAACTTGAACCGTGCCTGACATCCCACAGGTGTAGAATGGTTTAAAGGGGACCTGCAATGGCACACTGAGACTCCCATCAGAAAGGGATTCTGCCGCCCTGGGACACTGAGGACAAATCTTGTCGGTGGGGAGGTGAGGGGGGGAGTCACCAGCAGATGACACTGACCTCATAGAAAGGAGGCAAGTCAATGACAGCTGGGTGGAACTTGGATGATCACCAAGGCAAAGGGTCAATAAATGACAGAAGTTACCTGCATGGCAGGAGTGAATTCAGGCCTGCCCCAACAGGTATATAGTGAAGATGCTACTGTACTAGACATCTCAGCTGTTGGCTTTCCTGCCTGACTAATACTCATTTGCATGTGCAAGCCAGGGTATGGGTACAACACTGTGGTGCAGACCTGCTCATAGGCTCCAGGCCTGCAAGGGAGCACCGGGAAAAGGATAATAAAACCATTTATGCTGTGTACAAGAGCTGGCTGCTTTCAAGAAAGGAGAAAAGAGACACATCTAGGTGGAATAGGCCTGCAGGAGGCAGCTATGACCTCAGCCCTGCTAATAGGTTGTAAGACTACAGTTCCTAGTCTTGGCCTTTCTGTAGCAGACATGCTGATCCCTTGTAGCATGTTGTGTTCCAAGGACTTGTCTTGCTGAGAGCAAGAGAAAAGGTTTTGATTTATTTTTCAGTTTTTCTGTTCTTCAAGGGACACTGACTGCTAGTTAACTACCATATTTTTGCAAAAACCACTTGGGGAAAGTTGGGGAAAATTGGGTTGTGCACTATATGCACAGGTCTGGAAAATTGGGGGTGGGGGGAGGTGAAGCAGTAGCCACATTAATTACTGGAACTCTGGGAGCCATGTCAATTAATGCTGTCATTGCCCTGCATCCACCCCACCCCCCACCAAATTTCCAGACTCATGGGGAGCCCCCTGCTCCCCAACTGCACACCAGATTGGACTGGCACATGGGGTTGCTCCACATCCGGGGTGCCAAGTCCAGCACAGGACCCTGGACGCAGCAGGCCCGGGGTGATCCCAGATGCTCTTTGTAGAGCCATGTGCTGGCAGACCCAGTGCACTGAGCCTGGGACATGTCCCGGGTCAGACCCAGCATGGGGTTCCAGACTC